AAGATTAATAGAAGGTAAAATTAGTTTTGAAATTGGACGAAGGTACTCAGAATTTTCAGTCTCAATCTGAACTACTCTAACCAGACTATCCGAACCTGGAAGGGGTTTAATTATTCTGGCCAAACTTCACTTTGCAGCAGGACAATTAGGTTGTTTTAACGACACTATTTGACTAACCTTTAAATTAATTTGAGGCAAACGCCACTTTGGACGATGTTGCAATGACTGAAGAAAGTCATAAGATCAACTTTTCTAAAATGTTTCGACATTATGCTGTTACTGTGTCTAACGGTCGAATCAATTAAAGTTTTGATTCATAACCAAGCATTGAGGAACAAGGTTTAAGGGTCCCCCAGTAAGAAAATGACCAGGCGTAGGGGAAATAAAATCATTTATAGTATCATTCAATGGTTCAAGGGGTCGAGAGTTCAATATGGCCTCAATTTGAAATTGATAAAGCAATGTAGTCAACTCCTTATAAGTGGGTGTTAAGTTTAAAAGTTTGCGCTTTAAAACAGTTTTTACGCTTTTCGCTCCAGCTTCTCATATACACTAAAATGAGGAGCAGCCGGTAGATTAAAAAGCCACTGAATATTTTTCTGAGCAATAGATGCACAAAAATTGGAACAAGATGCAGCTTCAACATATTTTTCAAAAAGCCACTGACTGGCTCCTTGAAAGGTGGTACCACAATCACTAAACACCGTAGTAGGTATACCTCGACGCCATATAAAGCGTTAAAAAGCCACCAAAAAGACTAAGGAGGAAAAATCAGAAACTAATTCCAAGTGAATTGCTTTGGTGGCCAAACAAACAAACACAGCGACATAACACTGCTGAGACTTCTGCCCACGACCGCCTGCCATGTCAACATTTATTGGGCTAGCATAATCAACACCGTAGTAGTAAAATGCCCGTTGAATGCTCATTACCCTTTGGTTTCGACAAACCGGCTATTAATTGTGATGTCATCTGGGCTCACATTTTGACACAAGAAAGACATTTGAATATAACGAATATAATCTTGGGTCTAGAATTAATGAGTCATATTGTCTGTCGTAATGTGCTCAGTATAAGCTTTAAACCACCATGCAAACACGATAAATTTACAGGCGAATTAAGGCACCCACAGTCGGATGAAAGTCCAGAACAACTGGATGTTGTGATACGTACGACAACAACGAATGACCTAAGCGACCCCAACACAAATAACACCGCTATTGATATCAATAAAGGGATAAAGCGAGATTAATTTACTACGACTCAAAACAACTCCACCCTCCCGAAGTGCACGCAGTTCATCAGAAAACATCTCTGATTGCAAGTATCAATAAAGGAAAAACTGAGCATTAGAAAATACAATTGCAGACAACTGTCCTGTTAGTATTTCAGTATGCAAATTGGAACGTGATAATCTTCGTTTACGCTTAACTTGTAAATTTGATTGAAAACGAACTACATTTACGGTGACTTTACTAGCTTTAATCCATGAAAAAAATTATTAATTATTGCATTTAAGGGATGACTAGGCTTGACAGTAACCTGATGAACTGCAACACTAGCTTCCGTGCATACATCTGCAGGAGATCCAGAAAAGAGACTTGGCCAATGCGATGATGACTCAATTATCCGGGACGGTCCTTTTTACTATAATTGATTTCCAACTAGTATATCCGGAGTACAACCGTGAAAATCCAGATCAGCAGAGTTGGATTCGGTAGGAACGTGCTTCCACTCATGACCAGGAAGTAATTCATGTATCTCAGCAACTCTATTTGACACAAATAGCTTCCTATAAGATGCATTTCTCCTCAACCACGCCAATAGAACACTTGAATCGGACCAACACTAAAAATCAATATGCTTAAATGCTCGAGCACTACGCACAACTTTTAACAACCTAGCAAGTTATAAGGCGGTCTGGAGCTCAAGCCAAGGTATAGACGTTTCTTTTAACCGCGCCACTTTGGTTTTACCTATGATTAATGAAACGTTAACTTTCCCCGTTACATTTATACTTCGAAGGTATATTACTGCCTGATAAGCGTCACTAGAAGCATTGGCGAATCCATGCAACTCATTTAAAGTATTTTTTGGATCATAGAAATTCCATCGTGGGACACGAGACAATCCCATTAATGTATGAAAATACTCAGTCCATTCACTTAAAATCAGACTTGGTAATAGCTGATCCCAATCAACTTTTAATAACTAAAACTCCTGCATGAGTATCTTAGCCCTGATAATGACCGGAGAAATCCAAACCAATGGATTAAACAATCTCAATAACATTAATAAAACCCTGCGCTTTGTTAAAATGGAAGGAACTTCTAGATTGACCGAGAACAAAAAATTATCAGACACCAGGCTCCATCGAACACCCAACACACTAACTCCTCTATCAGTCGATGTTCCAGAACTCCAATTTAACTCATGCTTGTCGAAATCAGCCGTCAATGAAAGACTTGGGTCATTACTAGCCCACTTATGTAATTCCAATCCTGCCTAGTTCAAAAGCTGTATAACCTGATCTTGCACCTCCAAAGCTTTCTCACGGCTATGAGCTCCAAACAACAAATCATAGACAAATGTGTTGTGAGATAAAACTGAAACAGCTAAAGGAACTCCTTCATCAGCTGTAAGCTGCTTGATCACCCTCAATGCCAGAAACGGAGCAGATCTAGTACCATAAGTTACTATTTTTAACCGGTTATTAATGACAGAATTATCAGTAGCATGACAGCATAATATACGTTGAAAATCTCTATCCTGAACATGAACCAATATTTGTCTATACATCTTCGTGATGTCAGCAACACAAGCCAATGGGTAAGTTCTCCACTAAGACAGTACCAGAAACAGCTCAGACTGAAGTTTGGGACCTGTCAATATGCAATCATTAAACAAATATTCGGATGTTGTTTTAGATGACACATTAAAAACAACTCTGAGTTTTGTTGTTTTACTATTATCTCAAAAAATAGGGTGATGCGGCAAATATGCAACTAGACTAGATGACTGGTCCAAGCACTTACAGGTGTCATGTGATTTAACGATTCATATTCGTGCATAAACTCACAATACATTTGCCTGTGCTCGGTGTGTTTAGACAAACGACCTTCAACCCGTCTGAGTAGACATTTGGCCAGCGAACAAGATTGACCCAACTAATCAACACTGATGGTTTTGAATGGAAGGCTAACTTTATATCGTCCTTCAGGAGAACGAGTATGGGTCTCCAAGAAATGAGCCTCACATTGCTCATCCTCCGGTGAAGGCACTGAATGAAAAGAAACACTTTCCGTTTCCCAAAATTTTTTCATTAATACATCTATATCATGAACGGATGTCACATCATGCGGAACTGTCGAATCGATTGAATTGTTAACTTCCATGCATGGCCCAAAAAGAACCCTCCCAAAGACTGTTTGCTCAGCGACCGGTTTCGTTGGCCTTCCTTTTCTAATTTGATTTAAGAGTACAGATCCATAAAAATCAGCCCCAATGAGCGTTTAAATTTCTTCACTACCTGACAAATCATCAGCAAGCCTTATACCCTTCAGATGAGCAAAGTAATTCCAATTTAGTCTTATAGTATGTGCATATGAAGTAATTCTCGGCAAAACTAAAGCTTGTGTTTGGCCTACTACCCGATTTTTCTTAGTTGAAATAACAATCTCAATGGCATTTCGTGCTAACCCAGCAGGAAAGCATGGAACCATCAACGCCAATCACTTGACCTCCCAAAAACTCAGCCAGCCCTTCCGAAACAAAAGATCACGTTGAACCCTAATCAAGCAATACACGAACCCAAATTCGATGATTATGTCCACGAGACACCCATACCATCGCAGTTGCCAACACAACTTGAAAGGCACCCAAGGATTGAAGAATTGTAATATGAGTCTGCATATTCGGCGGACTAGGCTCATTTTGACCGTTTGACACCGGATTTTGATTATTTGAATGATTCAAATTACTATCATCATTATGCAACAAAGTATGGTGCATCTGCTCACAATACCTACACCTTTCAGGACTCGTATATAACTTGTATAGGCATATATATCTTTTAACACTATTAATTAATTTTTTGAATCATACAAACATTAGATTACTTTGATTTTATCCTATTATTCACTTTAAGAGAAAGACTATTTTATTCATTTAAAGAAATAAATTGGATGTAGCTTCTACAACTCTGTTAACTTTGCGACTGAAAAATAGAAAAGGGCTTAGGTTATAGGTGAAAACTTTTGTTTTGTTAAACATAAAGACTTCGAATCAAAGTTGCTATGCCTGTTTGCGCATCGTAAGCTTGTCAACAATGCTACTAGTTAGTAGAGAGTATAACCGGAGGAATTGCTAAAGTAAAATTATTTTTCATTAGCGCCTGAATTTCTTATAACTATGGGGTGTATAAATAATTGTTGTAAAAAGGTTTATTCAATAAACAAAGCTCTCAATTTTTTTCATAAGTTTCTTTGTGAAACGTAGATTAAATAATAATAAGCAAAAATTTTTTTAAGTCATCAGATAAAATAATTATAATTATTATTCAGGTAAAAGATTATTTGTTACCAGTGAATACGGTAATTACTATTCAAAATCCCAAGAATTAAAAAAAAATGTCTCCAGAACAATTTGTTACTTGCTTCCATAAATTACAAAGGGTTTGAAAAGTTTCTTTCACTGCGTATAATTTTAGCCTAGAGTACTTTTATTTTTTAAATGCTTTTTATTTCTGCATTATTTTAAATCAAATTTTATTGTTATAATATTTTTATAATTATGGGAAACGAAAGTACAAAAAGATGGCTTTTTAACTTCTATGACTCACTTTTTTTTGCTTCTACAACTCATCGTTCACATTAACATTTAGTAGCGAGCGTAGATGCTTACATCATGTCAGTTTTCATGTAGCTAGTTATACTTATAGAGTAACAGATCTTGTAATATAAATATTTGAAGTATAAGTAGAATGTATCTTTATTTTGCAGTCTGACGTTTGGGCGTTTGGAATTTTACTTTGGGAGATCGCCACGTATGGTATGTCTCCGTACCCTGGAGTTGATTTAACAGATGTTTATCATATGTTGGAGAAAGGTTATCGGATGGAATGCCCTCCTGGTTGTCCACCTAAAGTATATGATCTCATGCGACAGTGTTGGCACTGGCCTACTGCAGACAGACCTACATTTAAGGAAATTCACCACTCTTTAGAAAATATGTTTCAGGAGTCAAGCATAACAGAAGGTTTGTGGTTCCCTCGTTTTTCAAAGTACCACGTATAAATAAATTTAAAAAACATTACCTTAATTCTGTAGAAGTAGAAAAGCAGTTGCAAGGCAACGGTGAACAACTACAACTATTGTCTAGTAACAGCATACAAACTGGAAGTGCGGGAAATATACATGGTCTTGTTCTTGTTTCTGAGCAACACATTTCTAGTGGAAATCAAGGTTAATTTTGCATTCATGTGATAAATTTTGAATACTATAATTAGACGGTTAAAAAAACAATCACATTATCCTAAATCTAGATTCAACAAATTCGTGTAATAAATTAAGTACTTTTACGGGAGGTTTCTCAAGTAAAGCTACTCAAAGTCTAGTACAGATGAGACGCTCAACAAATAAGAAGGGTAAACAAGCACCAGCTCCACCTAAGCGAACAAGGTAAAGTGATTAACTGCTGCTTAATTTTACTAAATGTTTGTACTTTCTTCATAAATAAGTAATCAATTATAAGTAGTCAATGTTATAAACATCAAAATAATTTTTCTGCGTTTATTGCAATCTGAACAAGACCGACAGCTCCTATAACTCATGTAAATTGTTAAACGTTGTTCAGATCCCAATTCGTTTGTGATATTTTGATTTTTATTAAATAAAATTGGATTTTTTTTCCTGATTGCACATTTTATTTACAGTCTTTTATCGTCATGTAGCTCTTTTCGAGATTCTGCATATCAAGACCAAGATCCTCAGAGTATTGAAGTCTCCAATGCTACTATTCATGGTGGTACTGACCGCAACGGTATTGACAACATATTGCAAGGTATTACGTCACACACCTAATCGAAATTTATGGTATTTTTGCACGCCCTCCGCATAGCCCAGTATAACTACCTATTTCTATTGATACTACTTTGTTATTTGTTCGACTCTACAAAAGTTGTTTGTTAAAATCTTTACCATCGTATTGTAAAAACATTTAATATTAATCTTCCAAATTTTGATGATTATTGTCAGCTTTTTACGTAAAAACTCACACACTTAATTAAATGTTGTTAAGATATTATACGTTCGAACCACCACTAGATAAAAAATATGTCAACATTAACATTTCTACTACAACTCTTACTACTTTTTTATGGTGCCAGGTAATGTTATGACCGGACTCGTTTAGAGTATGGTATTAACCATTTTATTTTTATGTCATTTGTGTTCTCTTCGAATTCAGCTCGTGAGCTTTATTTGTTCCTATTTGTCAGATAAAAGCCCTTATTTAAATGATATGGATAATTTTAGTGTCTGTGTTCTTTTATTAAAATAATTAAAAATAATTCATTCTTTGTAAATACAATTTATTGGGATCACTCTAACATATATTGGTATTAGTTATGTTACTGAAAACTAACTTACCTATCACTAATGGTTGTTACTGCTGCATCGGAGTTCCCTAATTATTCGTGCAATCTTTCTCAGTGGCCCATTAAACTATACGAACGAGTTTGTGGTTGGAAAGAAGATGTTGCGGTTTCTGCTTTCTCTGCCATTGCTGGAACCACTTTCGGTAGGCCTCCTTCATTGTACCTCACTCCATAGCGTATTCCAAGACTATTGATGTCCTCGAAATGCACCCGAGTTGCCTCAGCCAATACGTTATGCCTTACGTGTAGAAGATACTCATGAAACGCGGGAGTAAAGAGTTGACTTAAACTTTAGAGGATAGGTGACTGACGTAAAAAGAGCGATTTTTCCTCTTGATGGTGCGTTTTTGTAGCGTCTAAGCGAGTAAGTGGCCTTTGGTTGAATTAAGTCAATCAATGAGCGATATTCTTGCAGATTGCGTTGACAGCACAACAGTGTACTTGCACGATTATATTTCATCTTATGATTTAATGTATTAGGAAATAACAATACAACAGTACCAACCACATTTTTCTGACACGTGCAATTGAGATTTCGGGATCAGTGATGGATATTTAATGCTCAAACAATCTTATTCATTCATACATACAATACAATACAATTGATGCATGCATACATATGACGTACAATTTCAATACATACATGCATTCTAACAACGAGGTTGGTCGCGTATTATGTGTCAGCATATTATGAAACATTAACCTTAAAGATGAACCACATACACGTATGAGCCCCACTTGTCATATGAGCTTGTGTATATTCACATAACATATTGTATTAATTTGACAAATGAATTGCGTTTGTACTCATAGAATGATTCGTCTGTGTCAACTCAGGGTGTAACAAGAAAATGCATTTCCGCACACGTCAGGGACTACGGTAGCGTGGGACACTTTTTCAATGAGATTTTTTCTATCAGACTACTAATACCCACTAAACCCCCCCCCCCTATGCAGCGTGGCTTTTTTCTACCCTAGAACCGCGTTAACATTACTTTAGGGTAAAGCCATCAGGGAGGTCATCACATCTCACAGCGTTGGCAAGGACGCTCGCTTCCCGTTGGCAGAGGTGTTAGTTCTCTTAAGTCCTGAAAAGGACTCTGGTCCCTGAGAACCAGGACTCGTATCTAGCACTTCTTTGTAAGCTACATTATTTGCAAGTGTCACATCTTACATGGTACTCACGCTTGCTGATTAGTAAGAATATTTAGAACAGCGTGGGTTTGTACCATTTTATCAAGGAGTCAACACTATTTTTTCCCTTTCATCCTTCCTGAGAACCGCCTAGGTGAACCCACTAACAGCCTCAGCGTCACTTAACATGATGTCGCCGATGTTTTCAAGCTTCATGGCCTCACCCAAACGGCTTTTTAGCTCCTGTCGTTCCTCGTACCACCTCCTTCGCTGAATGAAAGTATGCTCTGCTATATCATTCACCCCAGGACAGTAGTGACAACTAAATGTTGGTCTAAGTTCCATGCAGTAAAGCTGAGTAAGACAATAGTTCACTTTGCCGTGGCTATGCTCTAGTCACGGTTGCTAAACCGGTATGGGTCTGTATGTCCCGCATCAGCGTCGCATGCTCTCCTTTGCTAAAAAGACGATGGGTATGGATCGTGTGATCACCATCACGGTAACTAAAGATACCTTGTGGTACGCACAGGTGACTCCCAGAGACCTGACCTTCTGTACAGATGTTAAGCGATTTTAGAACCATGCCGCACAGTGGAAAAAAAGCACTTTTTTTGTTGAAAAATCTGCCGACACTACAATTTTTGACGTAATTCTCCCATTCTTTTTTTATAAACTCCTTAGATGTCAAGCTTCAGTGTGTCACTGCCATTTTTTCTCAAGAGTCCAAACCCTAACCTCAAAAAATCGGGAAATACAGAAAAAATAGATTAGAATAAAAAAATTTCTGTGAAAATTAGTTTTCAGGGGTTTTTAGATTCTTTGATCATGAATTTATTGTTTGTTTATACAATTTTGAAATGGTGAATACAAAATTGCTGCCAAAAACTAGAAATTCAGATTTATTTTTCGTTTTTTTAGATAAATTACTACAAACGATCTTTTTCGTCGCTGATTACGAACTTATTTCTTTTATTATGTAACAATCTTTAGTGTGTCACTGCCATTTTTCCTCAAAAGTCAAAACCATAATCTCAAAAAATCGGGAAACACAGAAGAAACAGATCAAACGAAAAATATTATTGCGAAAATGAGTTCCTAGGAGCTTTTCAGATCCCTGATCAAGAATTATTTGTTTGTGTACTCAATTTGAAAATGATGGAGACAACATGGCCCCCAAATCTCAAAAATTTTGCTTTATTTTGCTTTGCTCTGTATAAATTAGTACACAATTTCTTCAATCCAAAAAATACTACATCTCAATCAAAGATGCCTTATAAAATGTACCAAAGTTTTGAAAGAAATTATTCTAAGCTTAAAAAAAAAATTTATAAATGTTTCATTCTTTCTTTTTTTTCTGTCATTATCCAACGAACTACAGAAAATGGATGATAATAAAGCTCTTCAACATAAAAAAATTTTTTTTCTTTGAAAATGATGTTCCTATTTGTCAGATAAAAGCCCTTATTTAAATGATATGGATAATTTTAGTGTCTGTGTTCTTTTATTAAAATAATTAAAAATAATTCATTNTAAAATATTTCGTATATACACTTTTTATTAAGACAGTAAACAGTAATATAATTTTTATGTGTTTTACTTGACTTAAAATACCTAATACGACTTAGGTTTTCCTGTTGTACATGATTTTTTTACCAAACATACTATACTGTAGTAGATACTTTTTATACGCTTTTTTATGATGAACCTCACTGTTTTAAAAAATATTACAAATGAAAATGATGTCTTACTTTTTTATTCATGTATTAGTCCTTAATTTTGTAGGCATCACAGAAATTATATTTCAGACATTTCGGAAATGGAGCAGTTTAGTGCTATACTGTTATTTTTGCTTAAAAAAAATAATATGAAAATCCGAAAAAATTAGACGATAAAGGTAAAATAAATTTTTTTAAATAATTGTTAACAAAAATTAATTTTTTGAATTTTTCACTACATTTTTTCGAAGTTTTTTGAGGTTAGAAAGGATTAGTTATGTGCTTGATCAAAAATAAGCATATACATGTGATCAGCGATGAAAAATACATATTATTAGGCTTTAATTTGAATTTTTGAAGGTCCAAAACTATCTTACATGAGGTAAAACTGCTACCTCAAAGTAATTTTGACTAACTGCAGCCACCATATTATTCCGCCATTTTGAATAGTGGAAAATAGCCTGACGGCAACAGAGAGCCTACTAACTAAGCTACAGTTTGCGCCCATAAAACATTATTTACGACCTATAGAATTTTGGGCAGATCTTTGTTCCGTTTGACAAATAACGTTCCATATATAAATTTACATGTAGACACATGTAGGTGTGTGAGTATTTTTATCTGCTATTTTAAGTTCTGAAATACAAGAGATTCCTTTGTAATTTAAACCAAGGGGAATCCGCGCGTGTATCACTTTGTATTGCATATGACATTTGAATTTTTAGGAAACAACATATAATTTGTATTACAAAACTCATAATTCTCCATTAAATAAAAAATTTAGATTCCAATCGCCATTTTGTATGGACCATTTATTTTTAAGTCTTATAATAAAAGTAATAAGTTCGTAATCAGAAACGAAAAAGATCGTTTGTAGTAATTTATACGAAAAAACGCACAATAAATCAGAATTTTCAGTTTTTGGCCGCTATTTTGTATCTGCCATTTCAAAATTGTATAAATAAACAATAAATTTATGATCAGAGACCCTAAAAACCCCTGAACACTAATTTTCATAGAAATTTTTTTATTCTAATCTGTTTTTTCTGTATTTCCCGATTTTTTGAGGTTTGGGTTTGGACTCTTCAGAAAAAGTGGCAGTAACACACTTACGCTTGACATCTAAGGAGTTTATAAAAAAAAATAGGAAAATTACGTTGAAAATTGTAGTGTCGGCAGATTTTTTAACAAAAAAAGTCCTTTTTTTTCACTTTGTGTCGCCGCCAACGCATTTGCCCAGATCTCTAAGCTGTACAACAACATGGAGGTCGTCACCAACGTCAGTACCCTCCTTTTGGATTCTCGTGGCCCACTGTGTCTCCCAAATGTAAGCCGTGAGTTGACCTTAACTCAAAGGTACCTGATTGTGGGACTTTCGGAAATCTCTGCACTTGTGACGTTCACACAAAAATCTTCGCCGAACCATCGCTGCTTAGTGAGGACAAGTATCTTTGTTTTATGACCAGCCACACTTTTTTGCGTCGTCTATTAGTGATCATGAAAAAAGTATTTGGGCTATTTTCTGCTTTGTACACTTATTATAAGTATGCAATATT